CTTTATTATGTCCCTCCTTCTGCCGACTTTAGGCCTCATTGGTTCTTCTTTTTCCAATTTTGATAACTGTGACTTTAGACTATTCATTTGGGATTGTTCTTCCTTCTTTAAGTGTGCCTGGATTGTTATATACTTTCCTCTTAAATCTGCTTTCGCTGCGTCCCACAGAAGTTGGGGCTTTGTGTTGTTGTCATTTGTTTCCATATATTGCTTGATCTTTATTCTAATTTGGTCATTGGTCCATTGATTATTTAGGAGCATGTTGTTAAGCTTCCATGTGTTTGTGAGTCTTTTTGCTTTCTTTGTACAATTTATTTCTAGTTTTATACCTTTGTGGTCTGAGAAGTTGGTTGGTAGAATTTCACTCTTTTTGAATTTACTGAGGCTCTTTTTGTGGCCTAGTATGTGGTCTATTCTGGAGAATGTTCCATGTGCACTTGAGAAGAATATGTATCCTGCTGCTTTTGGGTGTAGACAGCAATTACATTTTAATTAAAAAACAGGATGGTTTCTTTAGAGAGTTTCTAAATCTCTTTCTGTAAACATATGACCAGGACAACATGCTAAGAATTCTCTCCAAAATATTAGCCTGCAAATTATAATCTCAAGAACTCATTCCCACATAAATCGCCAAAGGGATCCCTTTGGCTGATTTAATTTCCTGTCACTATGCAGCCAGCCAAAGAAAACTAAAACAAAAATGAGTAACACATAAAAGCATTCTTTCCTTGCTCTTTTTTTGTCTATTCTATATCCCTCTACATTAATAGCAGATAACCTTGTTTGCCTGGAGTTCACATTTGTATAAATTTACATCAGTCATCTTCAGGCCTATAGACCACATCAGAGAAGTATGATTTCACCCCACCCAAATGAAAAGAAAACCTCAAAGTGCTGAGCCTAAGTTTCAGTAATTACTACAGTGATATTTTTATTTTAGGTCCCCATGCTTCCCCTTACACATATTCAAATTGGAAGTGGAAATTCTCTTTTGAAGTACTTCTCATTTTGGCCTATGTCATAGATGCCACTCTCCTTTCCAAACTTTATACCTCCAGGAGAATAACACACCCAAATGGTACTCAATATATTCTGAACAGCTGGTAGCCACTTACCCTCAGAACTTGGGCTGAATTAACAAACCTAATTCTATAACTGGATTATAAATGATAAATCATAGTAATATGGTATCTTCAGACCAAGTCGGTTTAGCTATCAATTAGGGAAGTTAAATCCTTTTTTATTGGCCTACGCTTTGATCTCTTCCTTTAAGTTAGGCATGTGGCCATTAAAGCAAGTGTATCTTAAGAGACCGGGAAACATGACCAAGAAATGTTGCTTGTATGTAGTGGAACTGGGTTCTGAATATAGATCTAACTTCGTTTTGCTATGATGGGTGACAAGTGACTATATAAACCTTACACCAGAGCTTCCTACTATGTGAAATGTAATGAATACAAATTGTAAGGATGTTACTGATTCTGAAGTGAGAATAGATCAGTGGACTCACAGAACTGCCCTTTACAAGGGATTTTTGACTGAGAAACACTCTCAAAAGACAGTTAATACAGTAACAGTCTAAGAGAAAGCTGTTACCTACAGGAAAAAACGTGAGTGGCTCTCTACCTGGCTTTCTGAGGTACTAACTCCTGGATATGACTGCTTGTGTATCGAAGGTCATACACCAGGATTGAACCGTTGACCAGTCCAGCATAAATGTAATTGTTTTCATCAAGACACCAGCAGCAGCTCCAGACAGGACGTCCAGCGTCGTAAGTCTGCACCACTGTATTTGTTTCCAGGCTGTGGAGATGCAAGAGACTTTTACAACTATGCATTAAGAAAAATCAAAGATGCAAAGATTATAGTTTCAATGCTTATCTTTTAAGAACATGCCCCCACGGACTTGAACTATTTCCAGTTTTCTCTAGTGAATGCCCAGATAACTTCTTTTAATTCCAAAGTATTTGTTTTGGGGACATAGGTTTTCCTCTTGAAATGTAAGGCAGTAAAAGAATTAAGTTAAAGGGCCATTTAAACACTGTATTTCCAACCCTTCCCATTACTTTCTCCAAAGTTACCAATTAAACAGGTAATCAATATTCAATGTCAAAAAATTAGAAGATATGTGAGAACAGTAAGTTATAATCTATCATCCAAAGGTAGTCATTAATAACATTTTGGTATTTACTATTTTTTCCCCACCCCCTCCTCTATAAAAAATCATGGCATATACATACCACAAAAAACATAGTGGTAAATTGAGATTCAGGGCAAAACTAAGTTGCAGCATTCTAGAGAAGACAAAAGGCGTATCAGGCCTGACAGTACTATCATAATGTCCCTCAGATTTCATGGCAGAAACAGGAAACCAACTATCAACATCTGATCAGAACTATATTCTAAAAGATAAAGTCAAGGAGCACACTATGACCTGGTTCATGGCACTCAGAGCATGTGAGAGATAGTATAGTAGCTGAGGGTCACTGATGAGGGACATTATCATGGCCCTCCAGGAAAGTAAGTTCTGGTGAGCATTTTTGTTAAGCAGAATGATTCAGGTAACAGATTAGAAGCAAACAGTCCCAAGCTGGTACGGTGATTTCATTGGGCTAGGGATCAAAGTACCCTCCATAAGGATATTCTATCATTTCTAGGGTGTTACTCTTATCTGCATGGCTTAAGATCTATTGTGTATAATTTTAAAGAAATGGAACACTATATATACTGTTTTGTGACCTACTGTCTTCTTTTAAAACAAACAAACAAACAAACAAATTCGATGAACCAGGATTTCAGTACACAATGCCTCAGGCCCATTCCTCCATAAAGCAATCTAAAGCTATCATAATGCAGATGCTAATTTCCATGCTGTTAAACACTAAATAGCCCAGACCCCATCTTTCTACCCGAAGCACTCACCTGGTCAATTTAATAGTGCTATCCAAGGAAGCAGAGAGCAGTAAGCCTTTGGGTTGACTGCTGAAAGCCAGTCCACGGATCTGTTTGCTATGCATGGCAATGTACTGACTGCTTTTCATGTTGGCAGTACTTAACATCTTAACACCAAAGCCTGCCAAAGGTAAGAGAGTGTAAAAGAGATCACTGAAAGTTAAATTAGGGCAAAACTACCTTTTCAAGTAGTTCCTTTGTTCATCTTTCTAGGCATTTAAGTCCCTGGAAAACAGCTGATGAAATAAAGAAAATAAAAATTTCCTAGGGCTACAATTTATTTTAAAAAATATATTCCATTCCAAATGTCTGTCAACAGGTGAGTGGATAAGCCACACGATATGTGGATATATATATATATGTATGTGTGTGTATATACACACACACAATGGAATACTACCCAGCAGTAAAAGGGAATGAACTACTGATAAACACAATATGGAGGAATCCCAGAAAACTTACACTAAAAGAAGCCAATAAGAGGAACACTGTAATTCCATGATCAAAAGTAAAATACTTTTAAATTATAAAAAATGACACAAAATTCTCTAAATGTAAACTAATATACAATAACAGATAGTAGACCAGTGGTTGTCTGGGAATGGGAAAGGAGGGACAGGTGGGAGACGGATTACAAAAGGGCATAAGAAAATGGGCTAACAGATATGTTCTTTATCTTGACTCCATGTGGTGATGGCTTCAGTGGTGTATTCATCTATGAAAACTCATCAAACTGCATACTTTAAATATGTATAATTTATTATAGGTCAATTATACTTTAATAAAGCTGTTAAGAGAGAAACTATTCCACTTGAACCACAGAACTGAAGACACAGAAGAGACAGTGAACAATAAATAATGGAGGTAATTTCTCTATCAGGTGGACAACATATACTACATTTGTCTGAAATGGAATGAAAACAGATGATACCTCAAGTATTCTAATCAATGTATATTATTCCAGGAGGGGGAAAAAACCCCAAAATGTGTCCTTTTTAATTTGTCACTCTTTTCTCTTGCTAGACTATGATAATGTATCTATTTCTACTAAGTATCTATTATTATTTGAGTTATAAACAACAGAATTTGTCAAATCCTAGATTTAAGAAGCCTGGAATCATACTCAGCTTACCTAGGGAACCAAGTGAGAAAAGTTAGTGTTTTTCCTGAAATAGAACTAGGAGTCAGAGACAAACAGGGAAACTAAAGGCTTTAAATTAACAAAGAACACGAATACTTGCAAGCTTACCATCAAGGAAATAAGGAGCACCAGCTGGCTATCGAGAGTTAGCTACACAGAGTGGAATAGAAGCATTAAGAAAAAAGGAACAGATCATACCCAATTGGGGAAGAATTAAAAAAATACTATTTTCCCCATTTGTGGGGAAGGTTTTAGTTTGTGATAAATCTTTCCAATAAAAATTTCCATGGGACATATGAATATTACAAATAATTCTTTTGCTTTCCCCTCAATGGGAGCTTCTCTCAGTACAGCTAACACCAGTGAATAGAAAAAAAAGAAAATTTACAGCTTTCACTCCTAATCCTGTGTGTGTGTGTATATATATATAAGTTTGAGGGGGACACAGTTTTGAAGTATTTGAATGGAATTTCTAAGTGGGGAAACAGGAAATCAGGCTCCAATGAAGGGACTTGAGAGTTGGCAGGAATCATAGCTCAAGACAGTATAAAGAAACAACTACAACATGTAGGAATTAATTAGGCCTGTGAGGAGATTGGTATTCAACATCAACACAATTTAAAATGAAACTTAAAAAGCACAAAGTATGAGAAAATTAGTGTAGTATTAACAAAATAATCTATGTATTCCAATTCTTTTCCTTGAAATCTGTCACTTTGAACACTACTGAAAATAAGGACTAAATCTTGTTTCAACTTGACTTGGCCCTCCTAGAGTTAGTTTTTAAAAATATTTCCAGTCTGAAATAAATCTGTAACTTTAAGGGACATAGAAGAAGTGGTGCCCTCTGTGTGATCCACACTTCAAGGACCTCATTTCTCTCACTTTACCATGGTTATCAGTATTTCTAACCTCTTGGCAAACAAACGTACAGAATGAAGTCAACAGACACCAGAGATATCTTTATAGCACCTGAAAATATCTGAATTAACAGGGAACTGACTAGGAAAAGGTGATTTGGTGGGTGTGGTGAGTTCACCTACTAATGAGTCCTGGATTCTCCAAAAAAGGGGAGGAAAAATACATGAAGTTCTACAATGAACATGAAAGCACAGGTTCTGGACTGTTCACCTGGAAGGAAGGAGGCCTCAGGAGAAGGCTGAGACACCACCAGGCAGTTCAGAGCATCACAGTATGCCATGATGCGGCAGTTTCCTGTCTTAGACACGGTGAAGGTCTTCTGGAAATGATACTTGTGCTGGGCCTGGCTGGAGGGCAGGTAGCTTCGACTACGTGCTTGGGAGCCCCCAGGTTGCTGTGAAATCTGTTGCTGATGCTGCTGCACAAGTTGTTGCAAGTCCTAAAATGAAAAAGATTTTGTAAACGTGACGTTTTTCATTTGATATTCCCCTTGTGCAGTTTCTTGATTTAATACAAGGAGATTTCCTATCCAGTACATGAAAATATTAACAATAATTCTAGAGAACTGCTATTTTCACTAGTTCAATAAGCAATTGAAATGCAGCAGAGAATCATAAAATAGTAGTGCTGGAAGTCTTTAATGGCTTTTCTGTCTAAAGCCCCTCATTTTACTGGTAGATTCAGAGAGGTGAAATAATTTAACAAGTTGGAATTATAAGCAGGCGTTTAATTTTTTAAAAATTCAGACTGCAGTAGAATTTATTCTTAAGTGTATAAGCTTCAAACACTCTAATAAAAGTTAATTATATTGCTTTCCTGAAAAACTTGCTAAATCTTATTTGTTTGTGAGACGTACTTGAGTAATATATGGATTGCTTTTCAATTCCTATCCCAAACTTCTTTGGGTTAGAAAGGACAAACTTACCTGGACACAACTGTGAAGCCTAGTGCATTCATCAGAGAGGACTTGAAGTTGGAGCCGGCACTGTGCTGATTCTAACTCGGCCTGCTTCCTTAGGATCTGCTCCTTCAGTAAGGAACTAGAGGGATAAGTCAGCAACAAGTGGAGATTCGGACGGCTACAGAAGAATTCTGATCTAGACAGCATAGTAAGTTCATGCTATGATACACATACTTAGCTGTAAATATGTCATGACAATGAGTAAAATACAACAAGCGAAAAAAATCTCTCAAGTCCAGAAACAGCACAGAAAAGTAGCACGCAGAGCTGAACTTTTAAGTCTTTTGGGCTTCAGTAGTAAAGTAGGTAGTAATGGCCAAGAGTTTGACTCCTACTAGGGAATGGGGACTAAAAATGCAAAAAATGCAAAATGAGAAAACAGAGCCAAGTTCACTGCTTGAGTTAGGACCAAATTATGAGTAAAGTGACAGGTCAAAAGATCAAGATTATCTGCTGGATTGAAAGAAAATAATAAGGTATCAGTTGTTTATGAGATACTCTAATGCTACAAAAAAAGAGACTTAAGTTAAGAAGTGCATACCAGGGACATGCTATTAAAAGACTAGTTAGAATTAAGAAGCATGAATAGGCATAAAGAGGAACAATGGATAATGAAAGGACCCATTCACCAAGAATAAAAATCATGAATTTGCATGTACCTAAAGACAGTTTCAAAATATGACATGCAAAGACAGATTTCCAATTCAATGAGATGGTTTAGAAAAAAAGGTGAAAATGGAAAAGGAAGGGATAAAGCTCCCTTATTTATCTTCATGGAAAAGTCAAGAGAACCCACAAACTAAGAATAAAGTGAAAGTGCATGCAAGACCTTTGTGAAGCAAAGTACACTTGTAAGACACAAGAAGAGAGGGAATAAGCAGAAGGATGCTATACAATGTTTGTGGCTGGAGAGACTCAAAATCATGAAGATGGGACAGCTCAAGTTACTCTGAAAACTTAATGCAATTTCAGTTAAGATCTCAAAGGGTTTATGATGGAACTTATTAGCAAACTAACTTTAAAATACGAAAGAGCAAACTGCCAAGAATAGCAAAGTCAGTATGAAGAACAAAATGAGAGGACATATTTTAATGCTATAATAAATTATAACTTGGAAGACTGGTATAAGAATTAATAAACAGACCATGGATCGAAAGAATAGTCTACTCAAAAAATATTTAGGATAGAGGTAGCAATGAAAATTTATACAGAAAGAACATACATATTACTTAATAGTTATGCTACAACTGGTTATTCATAAAACCAGACTGTAGATGGTCAACCTCATTAGTAACTGAAAGGATGAAAATTAAATAAATACTACTTCACCCCACAAGACTGGCAAAACTTAAGTCTCATAATACAAAGTGGGCAAGGATAGGAAAAAAATAAGAAATCCCTTACACTGTTCGTTGGTGTGAGTATAAACTGGTAAGGGCTTCTTGGAAGAGCAATTTGACAATATCTAAAGTTGAAATTACATGTAACCTCCAATAAAGTACTTCCATTTCTAGACCTAAAGAAACTGTGCATCATAGTTTATATTAACAGAAATTGGAAACCACCTTAATGTCCACTAATTATGGGTAAATTCTAATTACAGACCAGAATACTATACAGAAATTTAAATGAATAAACTAGAGTTACATTAACTAGAATGTGTTCCAAACATACTATTAAGCAAGACAGGAAGGTACAGAATAAAAATTTCAATCCAGTAACATTTGCAAAAAGTTATAAACTTTCTAAACCATACTATATATGACTTCTGGATATAGATTCTCTGGGGAAAGGGAAAGAGATGGAATTGAGATTAATTCACAAGGAAACCTCTACTATATCTGCAACAATTTCTTTGTTTAAAATGCCTAAAACAAATACAGCAAAGCACTTAAAGATCTGATAAAACTGAGTTCAAGGTTGCTCATTTTATTAGTCACTGTATTTACAGGTACTCTGAAAATCTTCACATTTTTTAAAGAGACTAGGGAGCACACTGATTATTTCAGTAATGAGCAAATTTTTAAACCTAATCATCCATTAACAGCCAAACCAATAGTTTTGCCTTTTCAACAAAATTTCCCTCTCCACACCAGTCTCATTTTAGAATGTTGTATTTGTTGGCACAAATGGAAAAAATAAATGAGGAAAATTAAAATCATCTGTAATCCCACTCCTCAGTGACTACCTATGGTAATTTTTTCTAGTTTGCAAAAATATATTCACAGTAATGTGCTTTCATGTGGCGATATATGTGCACTTCATAGTTTTAATGAATGTATAAGACTTTACTTGACCAAATAATTCTCTTGGTTTGGATTATTAAAAATGCTAAATGACAAGTCTCATTAAATAACCTTTGCACACATCCTTAATAGCTTTACAATAAGTGCCTGAAGTAGAATTATAATTTAAAGTCTTCTGAAGTATACTGCCAAGGGCTTCTCTGAATGTTTGTACCCATGTACATTTTTACCAGTACGGAGTGAGAAAGCCATGTTCCTATACTCTTTCAGAGCTGGGTATTTTTATTTTTTAATCTTCTTAAAGTATATTCTAAGTAATGTACTGGCAGTTGTTCTTCAGCTTCCAAAAGCCTGAAAATTCCTTGCATTGCACTTAATGTGCAAAGCTTCACTTATGCAGTCTTTTGTGAGGAGTGCTGCTGCAGGAGAGCTTAGGGACACAAGAAGCAAAAACGGCAGTATTTAGGTAAATGTGCCAGATCCTTTTTTATTTTTTTAAAGCATCATTAAGCCTATTCTAGGACAAGGAGACTGAAACTTGGAGAGTATTCCAGATGGTCATGAATTGGTTCCAAAGAGTAAGATACGGAACCCCTGATTTAGTGTTCATTAAGCAGGGGCAGACAGTGAATAAAATCCCTAGGGAAGATCTGGATAGGCTACAAAAAAACCCAGGTATTTTTTCACTTGGACCTGCTGCCCAGGTCAGCTGTGCAGTATTATTATAGTGCTGTAGGTTTCTCTATGGTTTTTGATTTAGGGAAGGCTTAAGACACCATGGTCTTGGCCTCCCCAGGTCATATCACCAAAGGCTTTATAAAGCCTTAGAGCTGATTCTAAGTTTAAGGGCTTGTCTAAGTGTTCCTGCGGAAGGAAAAGCTGATTTGTTCCTTCTCAATCTACCTGCTCCAGTCAGCACATAGCGCTCAGGCACTGACAAAGCAGAGGCTTACAGGACGTGCAGAGCACACAGAAGGAATGAGTGTCACAGTCTACCACCTGTCACCCTTCTTTCACTTCCCTCCCTTTCGAGGAAGGAGATTTTCATGATAACCAGTTGCCCAGTGTTTCTAGGATGAAAATGTCATGTGATGAAATACTGGTTAATATTCCTTAGATTACAGGCATAGAAACTTTATTTAAACAGGCAAACAAACTGAAAAACCAATGTATTGACTACTGGAACTGAGAAATATATTGGAATTTAACTTCAGGCATGGCTGACTTGAGGTTCAGGAGTCTGTCTTCCTCCACTTCTTAGTTCTGCTTTCCTGAGCACTGATGTCATTTTTTTTTTTTTAGGTCCTTCATTTTTACCCAAGAAAAATGTTTCTGTGATTTTCATTCTCTTTGGCAGAGCTTCTGTCTTCCATCATATTCCTTAATCCTGAAAAAATTCCTTTAGCATTTTTTTGTGGCACAGGTTTTCTGACTAGAAAATCCCTGAGCTTTTCTGTGGCTGAAAATGTACTTATCTAGCTCTCATTTTTTTTATTTTGCTATCATTAATTTACAATTACATGAGGAACATTAACTTTACTAGGCACCCCACCCCCACAAAGTCCCCCTCACACATCCCATTACAGTCACTGCCCATCAGCGTATTAAGATTCTATAGAGTCACTACTTGTCTTCTCTGTGTTGCACAACACTCCGGTGCATCCCCCCACATTACACATGCTAATCGTAACGAACACTCTCTCCCCCCGCCCCTTATCCCTCCCTTCCCACCCATCCTTCCCAGTCCCTTTCTCTTTGGTAACTGCCAGTCCATTTTTGGGTTCTGTGATTCTGCTGCTGCTTTGTTCCTTCAGTTTTTTCTTTGTTCTTATACTCCACATATGAGTGAAATCATTTGGTATTTCTCTTTCTCCGCTTGGCTTATTTCACTGAGCATAATACCCTCTAGCTCCATCCATGTTGTTGCAAATGGTAGGATTTGTTTTCTTCTTA